TAATATTTTACAACTCTCATGAAGTAGTCTAATCATATTAGCAAATTTACCCGAAATAATTGTAAATTCTAGTTTTATTGATGCAAAGTTGTTCAAAGGGGTATTTGAAACAGGGACGCATAAAATGGGTACGCTAATTTTTGTCGGAAAACTTTTTATTCGACGACAAAGAATGAGAAAACGTGTTTTTTGGGTTTTAATTTAAAGTATTGGCAGGAACGAAAACATTCTTCAATTTAGATTTTTTAGGTATTTGTAAGACCTACAGAATGAGACTACACGTAAAAAGATCCGACTAATATTAAAAAAGTTAGGGCCGAAAACCTAGGCAAAATGCAGGTTCTGGCACGTGTTGGTAATGCCACTATAATTTCACGCAGCTGATGCTTGAAATTCCTCAAGTTCGTAGGCTTGATATTTCTAAATAACCACAACGAAATTGGAGTTCGAGTAGTTTTTGAGAATTTATAATTTTTTATTCCGAAACACCTGTCTTCCGGCCATCACTACTAGTTTACTGAGCAATATACAGGGTTCGACACTTTATAGCAAAATACACGAGTTTACCTTGCCGATATGAATCACAAACCATTCCGAAAGATAACTGTTATTTTTATTTGAAAAACGAAGGGTTTCGTTTTTTTCTTCTAGACAAATTCAAACATTTCCTATTTGTGAGTATTTGAATATATTCGCTACGATATTCGAAAAACATACGTCATTATACACATTTTAAAACAAAGCGGCTGTATCCAAGAGCTTTTGTTGCGTGTATACAGATTTAGAGCTGAAATTTTTAGACGGTCACAAATGAGCGTTAAAGTTTATAAACAAAATATTTCATACTGAAATGCGCTGAACTGTTTATAAAGTTAGCACGCAAACTGAAGACACAATTATGTTTTATATTCTAAATGGCAGACAAATTGTTAAATACTTTGTGAGTATCTAATTTTTTTATAGTATCGTGTATCGTTTCTCAGTTCAGAATAATTTTATATGAATAATCTGCAGATATTTAGTTCAATAATGCATATAAATTAAAATGAGTGCAAGTGCCGAGTTAGCCCACTTGACTGTAACTTTTGTATTAATGTAAAATGTATATAATTGAGTAAGCACAATGTGCAAAGTGATTACAGAATGGCGATAGCAAACACCCCTAAGTTAATCAATATGCAACGAATTTCTCTCTAAATAATTTCTATGTATTTAGCAAAACATTATGACACTATGTAAATTGAGTCAATTTATTATCATTCAACCATATTTACATTTCTTGGTAAATAGTGAATAAATGAGTCGCGATAAGAACACGTGATTGCAAAATTACAATTGCAGTATGTGCATGCAATAAATCGCAACATTTAACAGATCCCCTGATAGCAGGATATGAACCTTGCAGGATGATGATACCACACATTTGTAAACAGATAATTGTTTGGATATGTGAATATCGTCATGACGTGAAATGAGACGTCCTGGGAATTTTTGCTGAAGAAGTTCCATCAAAGTGCGGGCTGTGTGAGATGTTGCCCCAGAGTAGTTGTTTCTCCATCATCCTCAAAAAAAAATAAGGGCCAATAATCATCGTTGGGCCTACTGCTCACCAAACTGTAACTTTCGGGGTATGCAGGGGGGCTCGTGCAACTGTTGGGGGCTCACTGGAGACTAATATCGACAATTTTGTTTATTGACGTATCCATGTAAATGAAAATGTGCTTCATCACTCATAAACAACGTCATGTCATTGTTATCCAACTGTTCAATCATGAGCTGTGCAAAATTAACACGTTGTGCATAATCTCCTGGCAACAGTTGTTGACAAACTTGAATTTTGTTAGGATGGAACATTAAATCCTTCTTCAAGATGAGACGAAATGGTGTTACGGTCTGGTACTGTCCCAAGACGTGGAACACGAAAGTGAACGCGACTCGCCATTTTGAAGGTACCGACGTACAGTGAACACACGATGCTCAACGTTTCAAACCATCTTGCCAGCTGAAACGGCGCTTTTCCCACTATCCAACACGCACTTCCCCACCGACACGGGACCAGCCCACTCGATGTAGTACCCATTTGAAAAACATGCGTTCTTTCTGCCGGACCCTGTACTATCATAATAGGTATGAAACATTTGCATGTACCAGTATTTGCTGGACATTTCGTATGACACTTGAAGAGGAATGAAGTTACATGATTGGCACCCAACATCCTGTTTCAAAAAATTTCATAGACACGGACCATCGTCATCAAAAACTTTCCTTGGGTATTATTTTCTACAGAACAACAGTACAAAAATAATCTCATGCTGCCGCAAATTTTTCCTTGCGCGAACATCACGACTAAAAATAATTGCACTTGGAATGTTTGCCAATATCCTGGACAAACAGTAATTACTTCATGGCATAGTATCACAAACCAAATTGCGCATTTAAAAAATACATTTTTATCTCACGTTTTTTAGTTGCTACATGCCTAAGAGCTTAAGATACTGATAAGGCGAGATACATAGCAAAGTTCAACGATTGAATGTATCCATTTTTATTCACGTGGATTTGAAATGATCGCCGTGCGGTATCCATAAGCGTGCTAGGCGAAATTTTGGGAAGGCAAAAATGTGGATTTTCTCTCTTAACGCGTATTATGGAAAACATGGCAATGTTTGTCTATATGACAAATAAAAACAGGTCCAATTGGAGGCATTGCCTGTGCATGGACCAATAATCTTAAGCTGTTACTGTGGGAAACAAATTATAAAACAGGGCAAGAATTAGTCACAGTGGATTAGGCATTTATGAGCTTATAAATTTTTCTTTTGAAATAATTTCCAAAATGTAAATCTTCCAAATCTTTAGGTGTAATTTCATAAAATTTCGGCGCTTAACAGAGATATGGCTAATGCATTATAGATTTATGTGGCAAGTGACATTTTTGTGTTAGGCTGCAAGACTGGAAATAATGGATCAGGTATAAATCTGGTGAAACTTGGTTGTAACGTTTTGTTTTTTGTATGCAAATGGGCTTTTCTAAATAAATCAGGTGTTAGTAAGTACAAAATGAATCTGTAGCGAACAAAAAACCAAAACAAAATTCACGGATCCGTCAGAATTATTAATCCACCGAATGAGATTTTTAACCTTGTTAACAGTTATGTTTTTGCGGCGATACATGTCAGTAAATTTTAAAAATGTTTTATCTGTGACCGGAAAAAGTTTGACATTTTCTCTCTGTTGGCAGGTAACAAAATGTCACTTTTAATGCAATTACTTTTTTCTCCGGGAAAAAAATGAGTACTTTTTTCCCGGATATTGATTACGCGGTTTCGTAAATTTTCCGGGATTTAGCTGGCAATAATTTTTGTGACGCTACTTTGGCTACTTCTACTAATTCCGGTGGAGTCAAAGAATACTCGGAGTCAGACATTTTTTACTTTATAGCATTAAAAATAACTTCTAAACAACCACTAAGTTCACAATTTTTAAATCAAATCACAAAATTAAATTGACAGCTATTTGATTAAAAGTTTCCTTAGCAACGCAGGTCTAATTGTCGCTATAAGTACAACATAGCCTACTAATTTCAAAATTCAAATTTCGCATCGATAATTTTTTGACCTAAATATTGTAATAATATAATTTTTCAATATTAAATCGTCGTTTTTCCCGTCACAGAAATAATTGTTGTATTATTCACGGGAAAAATACCAGATTTTAGCTTCCGGTTTTTTCTAGTACTTTTTGCCCTTGTATAATAAATATGCGTTTTTTTTGTCTCTTACGTGCTTTTCTAGGAAAAAAAACTGATTTTTGTGTTATTCAAATTGGTAACATTATTTTCATATTCTCTTTTTCTGACATTAACAGTCGCAAAATATTCGCTTGAATTTCGCGAATACGGATGTGAATACCAAGAATCATGCGAATACTCCGTATTAGAATATTCGTTACATCACTAATGTGCTCAATGCACAATTTAAGAACAAATCAATTACATGTTAGACTTGCTGCGTTCTTATTGCCACGTATTTTCGCGTGCTTAGAGATTTACACTAAATGAGATGGTGCTTCACTGTAAACATCACCTAAAGCTTTAAAACACTCCTCCAATGTTATCTGCCTTATTTTAAGGGGGTCATTTTTGGACTGTGCCTAATTGCTCTGCCAAAATATTTTACGTAAAAATTAATATCCAATAAAGTATTTTATTATATACTAAGCGATAAAAGAAATAGAACACCTAGTCAATATGATTTGGTTTAAATGAAATTTTATATACAGTCGTGTTTAATGTTTAGTTAAAACGCTTGAGAATCCTATTTTGCTCTATGAAGTGCCTCAATAATGCTCAAATCAGCCTCCTTCCTTGGCCTCCTAGATCTAGCTTATTGAATATGTACCAGCAGCTCTTCGTAAAGAAGTACAGCAAGTTTGGGATGAGATACCTCAAGAAGGCATACATTAGCTCCTCAGAAGCATGTCCTGACGACTAAGCAAATTACAAGGAATAGGGTGATCCTACACATTATTATGAAAATCCAGGAATACAGCAAATGTTCATCAATCACGATTTTCTGTTACTTATGTTTAACTCCATAAGAAATTTCATTTAAACCTAATCATTTTTATTGAATGTTCATTTTTCTTTGTTACCGAGTAAATTACCCCCTATTTGTTTCATTTGGAAACAGAATCTGGCGCTGCCTATAGCAGTATAGATGAAAAAATTATTAAGCAAATCTTAATTTGTATTTTCTCTAATTATATTTTTAATTATCTCATTTACACATATAGTTTCCTTTTATAGCTTCCTTTTCTACGTCTTAGCTTTTCTACAATGCCAACAATTACTTAGAATGTGTGAATAGCAAATATTTTTTTATAATCATAAAAGTACAGCGGCCTTCAATACTCCAATCAGAATCTAAAGCTCGTATGGCTATGACGCTATTACTCACGGGTATGTTGTAATGCATATTTTTTATCTAACTGGTACACAGTCACCACTTATTTTTAGCGATAAAAGTAATAGAGGAAATATCCTCGCCAGTGTTCTATAAAATAATAAAAAAGATATTTATATTTGCGCGCAACATGGATCAGACGAGCAAGCCAAAAATGGACCCTGTTATAAGGAAACTCTGTAGAAGTAGGTGGACTTAACGAAAGAGTTATATTCTTGAGATATTATGTGAAACTCATCATTATTGTTGTTGTTATATAATCTGCGATAAAAATGTATTTTAAAATCGACGAATTTTTACTTTTTGCAAAAAATTCACTGCTACAGGAAATTGGCCATATAAGGTCTCATTTTGAAGTTTCTTTTACTGTTGATAACTTCTACCAAAGTGTTTTAATACACACTGAGAAGTTTTGACGTTTAATAAAAAATAACCTAGTTGATTTTATAGATATATAGATGATATATCTTTTCAAATTCTACGTATCCTGGTCTATAATAGCACATGTATGTGCTTTCTTGCAAATACCAAGCAGTAATTTACAACGCACAATTTTGCTCAATAATTCGTTCATTGTCTACAATTAATCATATTGAAAGTATGTCAAATAGTTACTGCGAAAACGTTTCCTCTGAAACGTGTGACTCAAGGTTTCTCGGAATCGCATATGTTTTGTTTATACACACATGATGACCGCATGCTTGATATGAGGTAAATGGAATTCCCAAGCCGATGAGGTTTGACTTTTCGGATAATAAACCTAATAATCTGTCTAGGTAACTGAGGAAATGAAATGTCAGATGGGCTTCAAGCTTAAGTAGGTCCAGGAAGTGCTCTTAGGTGCCGAAAAACATAACATAACATCAGAAAGAATATTGGAACTTAGTATCTGGATGTGAAAGAATTTATCTTTGGACCATGCTCGGAAACAGCAATAAAACTGCTTGATATGAGCAGGAATCTCTTTCGTATGGAAAAAACTGGGAAAAGTTAACCATAGAAACAAACCTTATATGCGTCAAGCTTTCGAAAAATCTTGTGGAACGTTTTTAGACAAATATTACCCAAAAATGAGCATAACAGCTCTTCCTCAAGAATGTTTGCGATAGCGCAAGAGAAAAATATCAAAATATTCAATCAGAAAATATTATATTTCAATCGTTATTCATTAAATTATAAAGTAATGATTATTCTTTGTCAAAAATACATATGAAAAAGTGACAAATATTCCACTTTTTGTGTTAAAATGGTATTTATGTTATAAAACTTAAAATGTGATATTCATTCAGGACACGAGGAGACTGTTGTTAAAAAAGCTCTAAGTAAGCGAAAATAATGCTGCCATTTTGCTGACAAACAAAATGCAACAACAAAAGCAAAAACTATGACACGCATTTTTGTGTTAAAAAATGTCATCTTATAAAAATGAAATACGGCAGATAATTATAATAGTGGTTTAAAGCTCAAAATTAAGCTTTCCATAATGATACCGTTTTCCTATAAACAAAATGCAACAATAGAACCAAATATGACAAATAAACATTTCGATTTGAAGTCTCTTAGTACTCACAATACAGAAAGTTTGGTGATCAAAAATCATTGTCATTTTTCTTACAAAATGAATGCAGCAATAATAAAACTATATGCTAGCCTAGCCATCATAATTACATAAAATACAGATGAAGTAAGAGTGAAAGGATCCAAGGTCCAACAAATTTGAATTTATTGTTCAGTAAACATATGGTACGTCAACATTCCAAGGCGATTCAACAGCTGATTTACCATGCGACTACTGTCAAAATGCCGAGTGGTTGACCTGAGACACAAACTATCGAATACATTGAAAACACTCACCCATGCAATGGGGCAAATCCGCAAAAATCGAAAGAACAAAAACCGCTTTGAAAGCTCCGATAAAGGGAAGGAAACCTTTGAAATAGCGTCTTCCGACGACTGATTTTTAAAAGGAGACAACGGATGTTAAAAGCTCGGGCGGACCCCCCACCACCTCGGGATCGTGTCACGATGACGTCGGACGTGTAGATTGAGGCAGAGTTGCGCGACGTGAATGCGCGGGAAACGAGCAATGGCGGCGCAAAGGATAGGCGGAAAGGTTTCTTGGTGATTAAATAAAATCAGAACAAAGAAGAAAATGGCCTCATGATCGACACAAGCTAGGCTCTCTGAGGAAAAAGTTGGCTAAGAACATGTAAAACTGATAAATTCAACGCCATGGGTATCATGTAAAAGACCTATAAAACGTCAAAAAAACCTATAAGATGTCATCTTGTAAAATAGGTTTTTATGGTGCAAACAGTCATTCCTCGTTTGCTCACTAGGATCGTTGTGAACGTCCATCTAAGGAGGAATCACTCAACTAAACTACACGCATTATTGGTTGCATATGTTTTGTGAGGCCATATAGTCCTTGTCTGTAGTTTTTATCTCTGAGAAGAAAGTTGGTTGAATAGCAAGATCGCATCTGGATGATTTATGTGTATTGGTCTGAATGTGTATAAAGTCAGTGATATTTGCTGTGTGAGAAAATCATTACTGAATATGCTGCCAATGAAGAATATCTGTTGGCTGTGCCCGACGGGTTATTTTTATGTTGTGCTTTCTGAAGAGAGGTTATGTTCAAAGTTATAAATTACGAAACACTAAGGAGAATTACGGGAAATCATCACCGCGCACGCGTTGTGTGCAATTACTGTTAGCATGTATATGGAATGTAATTCGACAGTGTACAGTGAATATAATTATTTCTTATTTCTCTCATTTTTGAAATTCAGCAAATTTGTATATGTAATCAGAATGGATAAGAAAAAGTGGATGCGCAACTAATTTCTTGCTTTGAATTTGAGACAAGAACCCAATGTAATTATCATCAACACATACAACTTAGACCTCCAGTAATGTCATCTCAGAAGCAGATTTTACATCACATCAGAGCCAAAAATTGATAAAAAAAATTTTCTTCCTTCAGCGCGGAATTGCCTAATTTTTCTAAGGTATTCTCTCTTCCAGATAACAATTTCCTCCTTTTCTATCAATAAACTATTCCTTCCTCTTTTCAAAAATCGAAAGTCTAGTCCTTTCAACAGCTTATGGAACGTAGATCTTTTAAAATTTGGCAGGTCCTCATCATCATTCACTTGCTTCAATATTTTATCTATTGTAGGTATTTCATTCCTGAAGAAAAAGTGATGTACTTTTCTTCTAATGGCACTTTTGTCAAAGTCATCTATTTTTTCGATGATTTTTTTTCTCGCTGGATATGTTTTTGGCTCAGATAGTGAGTGATTTTGTCTATATTCCTTCAAGATTTTGTAAACACTTGATCGACCTACTCCAGAAATTTCAGCAACCTTACATACGATATTTTCTATAGCCAATCCACTATTCTGTTGCATCTGGTTCTTGTAGATATTTAGAATAATTTGTTTTTCACCTGCGCTAAGATGAAGCTTTTTAGCCCTTTTTCTGGGTGACGTTAAGCTGATTTCAACCACTTCATCAGCTGTATCTGTGTCAGACATTTTAGACTAATATTAAATTTCCGCAAGAAAAATCAAGTCAAGACGTGCATAAAACGTTCGCGCTCATAAACGGGTATCCGTAACTGATTACAATCCTGTGCGTGGTGACGAACCATCAACGTGACGCTGAGAGTTCCCTCTACTATGCAGCGTTGCCAGGCTTAATGTCACAATGATCATGTTTTATTGGGAAAATTGTCAGAAATCGCCGAATGTTGAACAGAAACATTACAAGAAGTCTAACCTTGAAATGTGAGGCTACACATCGATATTCTTATAGGGGGGAAGGGTAGGGAGCTGTTATGGTTCCTATTAACCTTGGTGAAAGTTGGAAACGGTAATATCATATATGGCATACATTCGGTTGAAGGTGTGTGCACGGAAAATAGATTGCGGATAGGATTTTAATAGATAAATCTGCACAAAAAGACTCAAAAGGAGATTTTTGTATTTCCCTGAAGAATATCTCAAGGTTATTTCAGATGTACTCATCGAAACTTTATGGAAGGATTATCGAAACCTTATTTTCAATTGCGATAGGGCCACATACCTCGACATCGCATTAATGTGAAAAATAAGACAATAGAAAAAAATTCCCTCACTGATGCTATCTCTTAGGAAAAATTTAACTATAAAGATTGCACAAAAATTTTCTTCACCTTTTTGAGCTTGTTTTCGCATCTCCGTATATGCCGTTCATAAATTGCTGCAGATCAAATTGGAATATACCTTTGTGATGCCATTTATTGTTATATAATGTCCTTTACAACAGTTATTGCACGTATTGCACCAACAGATTGATTTGTGATCCATGCGAATGTGATCAACCACTCTGGCGAAAACTCGCCGAGCGTGGCAACCGTGCGACTTTGGAGGCTCGTCGCTACAAGCCAATCAGGAAGAGGCCGACAGAGCGCCATGGCTACCGATCACGCGTTGATCACGAATCAACCACTGTTTACGATTACTTTGTAGCTTCGTTAGATACACTTTAAGTGCTAAGATAACACCTTGTAGAAAAACCTACATAATGTCAAAAAAACCAGCATAATGTCAAAAAATCGGCATAATGTCACTTTTCAAGATACGTGATACCCGTGCGGATCAAGTTAGTCAAACAGACCCATACAGATAGACCATATCTCTTTTCTGCTCTACTCATACTGATACCATGATACTATAACTCGAGAAGATATGCTAACTTTGCGATCGAATTTCGTACCTCTTTGTGCATGACGTCACTCGGTGACAAATGTTCAGCTGAAATGAAGCATATTATACCGTTTTCTTTTTAATGTTTGGAGTATTTATCTAACATTTTTTTGTGTTATTGATTTTACATGTTCGTCTTTTGCCAATACGATTCAATGAAGTATATCATTAGAGACGTTATACAGCTATCACTTTCGAAAAATTAACAGCAGACAAGCTGAAAGGTTCTAAATAGCTTGAGACTTAATCATTGCAAATTCTCTAGAAGCTTTTCAAACTAAAATGTCTTTAGAGCTCCAAATCAAGGAACTTACGTTTTTATTGAAGCAAACTGGTTTC